TTGTAATTTCCTGATCTCATTGTGCTCTGCTCTTCCCAGTCTGACCAACACAAAAGTCTGAAGTAAAGGCAAAGGAAACCAGCACATTATATGTTTTGGGAGATAGCCTGGATCTGGCTAAGAGTGAAATTTCCCCTGAAGACCTGCAGATGTGTCTCTTCCTCATCTGATTGGTCTTGTTTTAGCCGGTCATTGGAATGACATCGTCATTCTGGTGTGTTTATGGACGCCTCAAAGGTTTTAGTCTGGGTGTTGTGTTTGGACGAGGCCTGTGTTGGGGTGTTTGCGCTGTCTCACTACACGCCAGATTAAATACAGCAGTTTTCTCATCAACTGCTCACTGCACACTATTGAATGTATGTGTGTGTTTGTTTTAGTATTCTATAAACAAGTCTATGACAAACATCTCTATTTAGAATTACATGATTACAAACCCTTCATTATGGACTTCCAAGTTGCTACTATGAACTCATAATGTGTGGCATTTTGTGCTGTTATTACAGCTATGAAAATAACCAAATCTTGTTGTGTTAAGACTTAACATAGAGTGAAATAAAATAATGTCCTGGCTCTTCCAAGCTTTATAATGGGAGTGAATGGTACCTTGTTTTTTGAAGCCCAAAAAAGTGCATCCATCCATCATAAAAGTAATCTATACGACTCCAGGTGGTTAGTAAAGGCCTTCTGAAGTGATTTTTTTTTGTAAGAAAAAAAAAATCCATATTTAAAGGGGTCATGAACTGGCTTTTTAAAATTTTGTAATATTGTTTTCTGAGGTCAACTTATGACGTTCACTTGGTTTTTACATTAAAAAAAATCAAAAAGAATAAGTAATAGGCTATTTTCTACCCTAGTTTTAAGCCCAGCTCAAAAACGCTCTGATTTTATGGGCGTCTCGCACTGAACACTTGGAAGTAAACGCCCACTGCTGTGAGTGGATAACAGTTTTGCATATTATAATGAGTTTCACTCTCGATCCGTTTTTTTATTACGAGGTAGGCCTATGTTATTTAGCTATGGGTTTAATGCGCGAATCAGTGGGCGGGGCTAAACCTGCCGTGTTGAAGTAGGCGTTGATCTTCTTCTGCGGGGGTGGTGTTTTATCCTCTATGACATCATAGTTCCCCACTTTGAAAAACGAGTCGTTTGCTGAAGCTGGTGTCAATAAAAGCTTTTATTGGATTAACAAGGACGTTTTCATTTCTGAAACTTACAGGACATTCTTATAATATGATGACCTCTTAGATGTCAAAAGCTCAAGGAAAATTTGATTTCTCAGTTCATCACCCCTTTAAAACTTTATAAACTGGGATGTATGTGGAAGATACCATTCACTCCCATTATAAAGCTTAGAAGAGCCAGGATTTTTTTTTTACCAGAACTCAAATTGTGTTTGACTGAAAGAAAAAAGTCATATACATTTATGACTGCTTGAGGGCGAGTTAATTATGGGATCACTTTCATTTTTGGCTGACCTAACACTTTAAGAAGCGTTTTGTAAAATGTTCTTTGAGGCATAATTTCAAGTTCATCAATTTGATTCAATTTCAATCAAATACACAAATCTTAATCAACTTATTAGTAAAAAAAATAATTGAAAAAGTAAGCTATTTTTGCCGTTAATTTATTAAGACTGAAGTCTGTAAAATTCATACCACTTTTCCAAACTAATTTCTAAACAAACCGTGGTTGATCGCTCTTCGTGTCGGTTAAGCGGTCTCATCTTAGCAATATGGACCTGGCTTTTAGAAACCGCCACTAATTCAGAGATCATAAATCGAATTTGTCTCACAGACACATACTTGGCTATGAAGAATTGTTTAATGTTTCTAAATCTTTCTTAAATGTTCTTCCTCTGTAAAGCAGGTTGCTTCAAACGCGAGACAGTGGAAAGTGTGTGTGTGTGTGTGTGTCTTGTGACAGAGGAAGTTGGTTCTCTAGAGAGGCTCTTGTCACTGGCTCCTGTTTGTCTGTGTGCATGCTCACACACACATACAAATAAACAAGCCCAGCTGGATTTCGGAAGAGACACAATCTGCCCAGTTCTGCCTAATCCAGTGCGTGGGAAATGAACCAAACCTCTCTCACCAGCACACGTCTCTCTTGCTCAGCCCTTCTTAAAGTGATACTCTGTGTGTGTGTGTGTGTGTGTGTGGAACAGACAAGCAAGCATGTGTTTGCGGCGAAGTTTGATCTTTATGTTGGTCACGTCCTTGAGCCTCCACCCTAAGTACGAGACATCTACCTAATGTCCATCATGCGGAAGGTCAGCTGACTGTTAGCACAGCATCCGACTCTGACCCGCTGACACACAGGCCTGCTGTAGCACAGTGTGGGCCTTTGTCCAATGACTTCAACATCTGCTCTCACACCCAGCCACCCGCTCGCCCTCCAACACGCACACTTCTCCAGTGAAATTGTGAGTCATTTGGTGACCATCACTATTTATACAGCCATCAGAGGATGATGAGACCAAAGCAATTAACTAAAATGGTCTTCTAAACTTAAACCTCTTGGAACATGATATTTTAACATGCCATCCAGGTCATAATGACCGTAACACTGTGTCCTCACCAACATGTTTTTTTTTCTATCCACACTTTGGGCAAAACTGCTGTGCAATGCAACAAAATCTCATGGTGAAATCTTGATAATATTTCACTGGCACACAAAAAGGCATAATAAAAAATATTATAAAGAGGTCTATGCGTATACAACAAAAAAGTTGTAAATAAATATAAATATTATTGGTTTTTCAAGAAAATACTATGCATGGGTTTTGACTTGAAAGTTGCATGTTTAATTCAATGTGTTACTTGTTGTTTCTTTGCATTATTTTTGAAATATACTTGCAAGTTCTGAGTGAAAGTTGTTTCAAAGTAAATCCTACAGCTACTGTTTTACAGTGTAAATTGACCAAAAATAACATGCTTGGTACATTAGATCTCTTTGACTTCACCCCTAATAATAACGCTTTTGCTTGATGTCAATACTTGTAGGTGGAGCCATGTGTAATGTGTTACTATTTGTAATTTCATACCGTCTGAAGACGTATGGATATCAAGCATGGATAAGCATAGTTTTTCATCTGGAACTCGAAGGATTTTTTCATATTTGGATTAATATATATTACTTAATTTTCCATTTTATTTTTTATTTGTTTCAGTTTGTTTTTTTGTTTGTTTGTACACCCTAAATCACGCTGGGTTGTTTTTACCCAATTTTGGGTCAAATATGGACAAACTCAAACATTGGGTTAAAAATGTAATTTAAAAATGTAACCCAATGGCTGGGTTTGTCTATATTTGACCCAAAATTGGGTTAAAACAACCCAACATTTTTTGGAGTGTATTTTAGGGCTTCCAAACTTAATAAACTATTGTGATATAATTCAAAATGTAAATAAATTTGTGGCCATTTTTGTTATTGTTACAATTTCTTAATTATTGTTAACTAAAACTATTAAAAAATAATGTTCTGCAGTTGAAATAAAATATATTATTTAAAAAATGCAATGCTTCAAAAAAAAAACTTAAATACAAATTCGAAATAATGCCTTGGCAACTAACTGAAATTAGTTTATGCTGAGATGAAGAAATTACTTTTACTTTGTTATTAAAAAAAAAGTCTGATTAAAAATGACAAACACATAACAAAGTTTCTTTGTTTTATCACTACGGTTTGGCCTAAAACACTGATTTGTGGTCATCCAGTTTTAAATGTTGACTGGAAACTGAAAGTAACTCACTATTTTCTAAACATCTTTGAGTTCTTGAAAGACGACAGATTTTTTTTCCCTCTATTTTCTCTTGTCAGGTAGCACAGGTTTAAAAACAAAACAAACTAAAAAACATTATTGACAGCCAATTTTGCCAGTGGTTAAGTACCCCTTCAACAATATTAACATTGTGATTTTTCTTTTAACATCCACAATCAAATCTCTCCTGGTTGATCCATTTATGTTTCATATACATGCAGAGTGGAATTTTGGTCCAATGAGCTCTCAGTTTAGGCTATACCATGGTGTTGCAGAAATAGCAACCAAACAACCAACAAAATACAGTGTTGCTTTGTTGTATCTAGTAAGGACGCAGTATAAATAGCTGTGAGATATCAGGTCAGAGGTCATTTGATGAACTGACCATTTCAGACGCTCCCTCCAGGTGTGTATCGTCTCGGATTTAGATATCAGTGTTTGTTTACTCTGCCTCACCATCTCAGTTTAGCATCAGGTCATTTGAGTGTCATTGTGTCAGCTCTCTCCTGCCCAGTTTAAACAGCTAAAATCGGATTACTTAAACCGGTGGTAAGCAGTGAGCTCGCCCTCTTCACGATGTAATGATCAGTATGGAAAAAGGACTTATTGTGCCCTCGTATCAACCAATAAAAAGATTCAACTAGCTTTTCTTACCAGAGAGACAGAGGTGTGGACTGGGGGCAGATAAGAAGATAGAGGAAGAAATATGGGGTGCACAAAATGTCTGCGTTCAGCAGAAGCAAATCTTCAGATTTATTTGATATGAATTCCCACGCTCAATACGATAAATTGCAGTAGGAAACCATTTATCTGAAAGCGCCTGACATGTGGTGCAGAAATAACTGCAGAAACCACACTCAAAAACTTGGGCTAAGAGTGTGAGCTTGTGACTACTGAGACATTTTACTGCTATTTACAGTATAGTAAGTTTACATGTTGTTAATAATACACACTAAAGCAATGTGACCATAAATCAGCCAATCAATCAATCAGTCCACATCAGTATCAGAAATAAACCCCCAATGTTGATTTTCAGAGGCATTTTTACTTTAATGAGGGAGTTCTACATATAATAATTGTATTATTAATATATTATATATTCATTTAACTGTACAATAATTTGCATCAACTCCCCATCCCAAGATTTTAAATACCTTGGGCATTTTTTTTTTCCTTAAAATCTGTTGAATTTCTGAAAGAGGTATACCTTTGCTGTACGTTAATTGTCACCTTCTCATTGCAGGATTTCTAAAAACATCCCCACCACTAAAGATGTGGAGCCTCTGTTGGAGATCGATGGTGATATTCGCAGTTTTGAGGTGTTTCTCTCATCGCACACCCCTGTTCTCACCGCTCGTGATGTGGAGATGTTCCTGCCCTGTACTGTCAACCTGGATCCCAAACTAAGGGAGATCATCGCAGGTACAAGCCCACACAAACAAGTTTGCCTAGCTATAAATAAGGAGGATATGCCATGAATTTGTATTGTTTTTATATAAAGCAAAGCAGAAACCACATAAAGGCTATTTGGAAGTCGACAATAATTGACAATGTCAAATTTAGATAGTGTATAGCTTTTATTGCTTGATGCTTTGTCACATTTGGTATAAACACTGAAAGAAAACTTGATAACAATTTACTTAAAGCCTGTTCAATGCATTATAACAGAATTTTAATGCATTTATTATGCCTTGTAATGCATTGTATGGTCTCATGAATAATTCTAACCACAATTATAATATTTTATAGTACATATCTATTTATTAAACACACACTTTTAAAAGTATAACGCATTAAACATATGGTAAGCAACCGGTTTCAGATGTAACCAGGAATCTGGAAATATAAAGCATTTTAGTAAATTATTTCTCAAACATGAAGGCTACATAAAGTGTTACCGAAAAATTTTACCGATTAATTTATTGATGCAGACTTCTCTAAATCATTGCGAATATGAGAGGTATTATCTCATCACATGATATTGGTGGTCAGCTGGTGTGTGCTTCGAGACTGAAGATGTTGCATGGTACAATGTGACAATAAAGGTTCCTTTGTGAACCCAGAGAGATGAGTAAGGTCTCCATTGTGTTCACCTCAGGAAATGAAACGTCACTGAATCTCGATGAGCCGCTTGTTTTCTGAGTCATCCAGCCAGTCTTATTTGGTCTGCCTGAGTGACTCAGAAATATTACTTCCAACCAAACACATTCTGACGTCTATTTCAGCCCTTGAGACATTGACGTTAAAGCGAATGTGAATTTCATTGGGAACCATTTCCTACGTTTCTTTCTTCAAGGTGCGTTTTTGCGATTGGCCACTTCTGTTGGAAGAAATCAGTGTGTTTCTAAGAGAATCAAACCACAGAGGCCTTTCTTTTCTCACATGTAACGTACTATAAATGCTTCATTTGGCTGAAGTCGACTGTGAGTGGGAGGATTTGAATGCCTTTAAAGTGCTGGCCAAGATTCGGATCTAACTTTCTCCTACTCTTTCTTTCTCTCTCTCTATCTCCCTTCCCGTTTCAGATGTACGAGATGCACGAGAGCAGATGCACCTCGGAGGAGTCAGTTATCCCCCACTGCCCCTGCAGGACGCTTCGGCACGGCCACACTCTACATTTGGGCAGAATTCTTTGTCCTGCTCTCCCACGGGCTCTTTCCCTGGGTCTTTCCCCCCTGCTGGAGTGATGCCAACCACTCAACCCCACAGCAGCTACTTTAGTGGGCTTACGGGACCCCAGCACCCCTTCTACAACCGGGTGAGACATCGGTTATTGTGTTCAAGCAAAATGCGCCAGTGTTTACGGTAACTGAAGCATACTTGTGATAATTATAGTGCAAAATTTGAGCGCGAACAAAACTGACCTTCTGGCATGGTTTCTAGAAAACAAAAAAAAAGGGGGGGGGGGGGTATTTTTATTTATGGGGTTTCCTGCTACTTCTACTAAAATATAATACTAATATAATTTTTAAATAACATTTCATAAAATATTAATGATAATAGCTGTAGTAGTAGTAAGATTATTCAATATACAATATTCAGCTTATGGTTTATTTTTATTGTTAATATTAATGGAAGATATTAATTATACTTGGCACAGTCCTAATAAATCATCAGTGTGCTTATAGGCTCTCATGGGTGTTTGACCTTTCATTAAATGAACCCGATGTTACACTGACACCTCAGCCCTGATTATTCTGTTCTCTCTACATCTATAGCCGTACTTCCCTCATCATGTTTATCACCTGCCCCGAAATTACCCTGGCAACCCCCATCACACCCCTTCACGCCCTGCTTCTAAACATAAGGACCCAAGTCTGGTACTAGTAAGTACATAAACGACTCTGTACAGTATGTACACTGCAGGCAGACACGCGTTTTACTGCCTATAGTCTAAATGGCCACAATAATGTCTTTATGTCTCTTGGCACTAAATGTCTTTTTTCATCCTTTTTTTCAAGCTCCTCGTGACAAACAGCCCGTGGCTTAAAGCTATAATTTAAACATTAAACTCACAGAGCAGGTTTAGGGTTTAATGTCTCTGTGTTAATCACAGTGTTGTCGTGCCATTTTATATATTGTAAGCGTTTGTAGCTTTCTAGCATTTTCCCATGATGCTTCTAACATTAAAAAAATGGATGTAATTTGATTTTAAACAACCTTTTTCCTTTCCTCCTCTTTGAGTCTTAGATATAACCCGCAACCCTTCCTTTCAGACTTTTGTATGTAAATGATTAGCTAAAACGTTTGCATGGCAAATGAGAAATAATCTCTCCGCCACTATACGTTCTAACTCGTATGTTGATGTTTTATGAATATGACATTATAACCTTTGTGATTTCTGGCTGTTTACTTAGTCTGACTACATTGTCTGTCTACGACGCTGTACGTTGTAGAGAATGAAAACTCTCGTTGAAGACCTAATGGAGTTGAGAAAAGTCTCATAGTTCATGCCAATCTCTTTTTCAGTCCTCTGTCTTTTCCATACTAAATGTCCACACTTCTGCAATGGTCTTTTATCCTCTGGTTCTTCCTCTTTTCTTCCATTCTTTCTCCCTCCATCAGGATATAATCAGAGAGGACTCACGTGAGGGTCTTCCCTCTCCATCCCCCTCTATGGTAACTTTAGTAGTGTGTATGTTTGTTTATATCTGTGCATAAAAGGTGCAGCAGAATCTTTAATTGTCTGCAAACACACACACACACACACATATGCACTTGTGCTTATGGCATGTTACACTTAGTGTCCAGTTTGAGCCTGCGCTGCTTGAACCCTAAAGCTTGATGTGCAGCTAGTGAACAAAACTTGAGGGTTCTAACAACCTATTGCTGGACCTCAGCATCCGTTTTATTTCCACCTTTACTCTTTAATCCATATTTGACTTTGAAACAGAAGTCTATTGAGAGTGTATATGTATATACGTATTTATAAAATGGTTAGTTCCAGTCGTTGATTCTGATTGGTCAAAAGCTGTGCTTTATTCATGATAAAACAGGGCTATGACCGCTTCACCCAGCGGTTCTATTTATCACTGCGCAACACTGCAGTTCCTATGTTGTTTTTTTATTTGAGCTTTCATGCATATTACACGCTGTTCACGGTCAGGGACTATTTTTTCTAGCGGAAGAAAGGATTTTAGTGATTTACTTTTTTTTTTACTTAAATATTTGTATTGTATTGTAACCGTTTTATAAACGCTATAAGGTACTCGAGGGCAAGTGCTCTATCATTAATAAGGAACGGCTGAAGGGGTTGCAGGCACTCTGCTTCGCGTCTTGCCTCGTTACTTTTTCACAATACAGCAATACAGCCTCTCGTACCTTATTGCTTGCGTATATCAAATAGTAAATCTGTATGTATAACTTTTATTTACTAATTGATAGATACACACATACACATGTTTATATATATATATATATATATATATATATATATATATACATACACACACACACACACACACACACACACATATATATATATATGTTTTTAGCAACAAATCAACATATTTGAATGATTTCTGAAGGATCATGAGACACTGAAGACTGGAGTAATGATGCTGAAAATTCAGCTTTGCATCACAGGAATACAATTTTATTAATTAATTATTTTAATTCAGAATTCTAAATTTTTTTAAAATAAAACACTGTTATTTGAATTTTAATATTACACAATATTACTGTCTGTTTACTCTAAATTTGTTTGAATAAATGCAGCCTTGTTGAGCATAAGATGTAAAACCTAAAAAAAATGCAAATACTATTTCTGAATTAAATGACACAATATTTATACAAATAGTGAGCACTATCCATTGACTTGCGGGCTGTTAGAATTACGTTACTGTTGAGAATTCGGTTCCCTGCTAATGCCAATAATCTCAAAACGGCCAAATATTGGACAAGATTATCTCAGATTAGAACGATTACATCATTATTCACTATATAACAACCATTACCAATGCTCACTGACATATCATTCATCAACAACACCAGCATATTCTCCATTCCTGCGCCTCCTCCATCCTTCTTCCCCGCTGTTTTCGTTTGAGTCACGCCCTGCCGCTGCTTTCTCTCTTCATATCCTGCCCTCCTTCCTTCAGCTCGGTTGTTTTGCCCTTTCATGCCTCCATCATTTGATCCGCTCTCTGGTCTGTCCCCTCATGGCTGCTTTGTTGTGCATGGTGTGAAAGGCTGCTGCTATCAGAGGCTGGCTGGATTAGCATCAGCAGTCCTGGGACGTCTCGCTCTTATCAGCAGAGAGAGCCGCTTCCTTCAGCACACACGTCTGTTTCCTCCTCCCGCTAATTACACTCTTATCGCCCCGCTCCAACACTCGGCCATCAGGGTGGGGCCGTTTTAGAATCAAACAACTTGTTCTCGCCATGAAGTCGTCTCCGTTTCTCCTTTTTATCGTTCTGTGTGTCTTTCCAGCTCAAACTCTTTGCACAGTTTGTCCTTTCTCCGAAATGTTGTAGTTATGAGTCACTTCATCTGAGGTTTTCTGTTTGATTGGCCTGATCTAATCAATACTGTGAAAACCGTGCAGGTCGGATGCTGTGAAACCAGCATCCGTCATAAATAATGTTCTTGCGTGCGTTTGATTTATTGATGATTTGAAGCATGTGACCTAATCCCTCCTTTCCTCTCCTTTTGCCACTCCCAGATAAAATCTCAGCCCTTCAGAATGAAGCAGGTACAAACATTGAAACCCTTCAGTTTTTCCCATGTTTTACTGTGTTATTTACAGGACTCCTGCTCATTTTGGCGTGCTTCACTTCGAACCAGAACAAAATGAACAGCCAGTTCTGCTGTTGTGAAATTTCTGTTCAAATACACTGTCCAAATTTTCACATGCTGTCCAGATACAGAAAGGACAAAAAAAAAACAACAACATAAAATAAACAGGACTCAGGTTTGCATTGAAGTTAAGTCCTCTGAAACCCTTATGACGATTTATGTAAAGAAAATTTAAAGTGTTGTTCACCTGAAATATTATTCTCCATTATAAACATTTAAACTGGTATGTCAAGTTCAAATTTGACATCAACTTGAATCTAAATGCAAATGAGTTTTTAGAGAAAAGGCTAAAATTATAATTGAATGTAGTGAATATTTATTCACAGGCTCCTATTCCATTGGCTGCGTCTATTTCAGTGCTCTGCAGTTCCATCCAAAATAGCTTTCAATTTATATTTACTTTTAAAATGTACTTTTATCTCTGTATTTTTTTTTCTTAGTAAACATGCCTGCTGATGATGAGTAGGATTACAGCACAAATATTTTAGGTGAAAACAATTGGTGTCAAGCTATGTACTCATTTGTGAATTTTTTTATTTTTTATATTTATTTGGCATTTTCCAAGCAGGGTTCCTCAGATATATATCCATGGCCCATTCATCATCATTTTAAGAACATCCTTGTAAAATGTTAGTTTTGAGTCAATTATGGCATTAACTAAGGCCTCAAATAATTGAAAGGAGCAATTTCATTAGAATTCATATGAAATATAGTCCATGTATTGGTCCTTCATCCATAACTGCTCAAGTGTTCCTCACTCTGTGATGACATTGGATCACTGCTTTGGCTTTTCTTTGAGTTGCACTGCTTTTGCATTGCATGGCTTTGACCATGCCTCATGCCTTGCTATCCCAGGAAGTATTATGAATGAATATTGAATACATTATTGTATGTGTGTAGGGCTCTGGTTCTGTGGTTTCTAGTGGAGCTCAGGTCCTCCTCAGTTCTCTTAGCATTGATGGAGTGTGTGAGAAGCTCAGACAGATCCAGGGTCTGGACTCCAGCATGCTGGAACAGTACATCGGCACAATCAAAAAGGTATGTTTTGGAAGAGTGTACCAAAAGGTCCACAGAAAAGCATGCAGTCGGCACGTAAAAGGCACTTTCACAAACACCGTACACATTGTTGTTCCATTGCTTCTTTAAAACATCAGAGGCACAAATGTTTATGGTAAATATACACTACTGCTATAAAGTTTGGTGTCAAATAAATGCTGTTCTTGTGCTCTTTCTATTCATCAAAGAATCCTTAAAAATATTTATATTTATTTTTTCTACAAATATTTATCGCCACAACTGCTACTGTTTTTTCTATGTAGTTTTGATAGAAGTCTCTTATGCTTACCAAGACTGCATTTATTTGGTAAAAAATACCGGACATTGGTAATTTTGTGAAATATTACAATTTAAAATAACGGTTTGATTGATTCTTCTGAAATCAGTCTAATATGCTGATTTGGTGCTTTGGAAACATTTCTTATCAATGTTAAAGACAGTTGTGGTGCTTACTATTTTTGTGGAAAACGTGATTTTGCACGATTCTTTAATGAATAAAATGGTAAAAAAATTGAAATGGCATTTATTTGGAGTAGATTTTTGTTGTAATCATTTAGAAGTCTTTACCGTTAAGTTTAATCATTTTAATGCATCCTTGCTGAATGAAAGTATTAATTTAGTTTATCCTATTAACCCCTATACTACTCCTATAAAAGTATTTACTCAAGAAAAATTTAAACAAGTACTTGATTTTTATGGTACTTAAATATTAAAAGTAAAATTTCTGATTGATTAAAGAGATATTTATTCTAGAAAACATTAGTCGGTAATCAGCTCTAAAATACATTAGTAACTTAGTTACACGTAGATTCGAGCTCCGATGATATCCATTTTTTGGCTCGTTTTGACCGAGTCAGTGAGTTGTTTTGCAAGACCAGCTGCAATTGGATCAGTCCAATTCACGAGTGAATCATTTAGTGTTATTTGTGAACCAATTCAGCAGGTTCTTTGGAATTAGAAAGAATCAACTCGTTCACGAATCGCACATCGCTCTTACGTCTCGGATAGGGTGGAGATTTCTTTAGTTCGCGGTAACAAGAATGATATTGTTTTTAAGGAGTGCAGTGGAGTAAAAAGTGCAATATCATGCTATGGAAAGTAGTGAAGTAAAAGTAGATGTTTCGCAAAATAAAAATGATAAAGTACAGATACGTTAGAAATGTTCTTAAAAGGATAGTTCACCCAAAAAAGGAAAATTCACCCTCAAGTTGTTCCAAACCTGTATATATTTCTTTAATTTGACAGTTGACAAAAAATACTATGGAAGTCAATGGCTAATGTAAACTGTTTGATTACCCACATTCTTCAAAATCTTGTGTTCAGCAAAAGAAAGTAACTCATACAGGTTTGAAGCAACATGAGGGTGAATAAATGATGACAGATTTTTCATTTTTGGGTGAACTATCCCTTTAAGAACAGTAATCAAGTAGATATAGATAAAGTTACTGTCCATCACTTTATATAAAATGAATAGAACATAAAACCTTAATATTTGTAATCTTCTGAAGTTGAAGTCAACACTTTTTTTTTTAAAGTCAGTCAGTTTGAACGTCAGTTTAATGCCCTATTTGGTGTCCTATTTTGTACCATATTCGTGGAAATATACCGATAACTAAAAGGAAAGTGGGTAAAACAGGATAGAGACATGGGGTGTGATTAATTACCAAAGTTTTCCAATAGATGAACATGTATTTACAGGGATGGACTAGTTTCATCAGCTCTATGTGGTGCATACGGAGGATTCACAATAAGGCCTTTCTTTCCACTGGACAACATCTGAGGGAAGCAATGACATATCTGATGTCTCCGTTAGACATCCATTAGTCAACCTACCAGCTGTGTCCCATCAGCCTGCATACTTAAACGTCTCTATTGTGAACTTTGTTTCAACCCCCTGCACACTGCCAAGATCAAACTGATCTAAAGTTTGTCCGCTATTTTTTTCAATGCCATAATGTTTTTGTCAAATCGTGTCACTGCAGGCCAACGTGAACGGTCGGGTTCTGTCTCAGTGCAACCTTGATGAGCTCAAGAAGGAAATGAACATGAACTTTGGAGACTGGCATCTCTTCAGGTCCATGGTAAGACATTTCTGTTCGTAATCTGACACGTACACATCAGATAGTGGTCATCTTTCTGTTTGTGGTTTGTAATGTTTAGCACGCAGCTAATCTCTCTGTAGTGAAGAAGGCTGGATGGGGTTGAAATAAGGAACACATGTAGCTGTGTTGATCAGATTTCCATTTGCACTTATACAAACGAATGTTGTGTTGCCAGCAAGCAGGCAGCCATCTGGTCCAAGATGGCTGCTTTCTGGATGAAGGAGGGTTATTGTCAGTGGGAGCTCGGTGTCCACTTGAAGATCTGAATAGCTTGACGTTTACAAGAAAGTAGCATTCTTCAGACTGGAAACGAGTCCAAATGGAACGACTTGGGGCTAGTTGTGATATTGGCATGCCTTAAAGGTTTCACATAGTAGTACGGCCATTCAGCGATTTCACATAAACGCCTTAGTGAAGCACAGTTTTCTTTAAAACTTTAAAACAGCAAAAGATTCTTTAAAACTAAAACCTATTCAAATGGGACACTTTTTCCTAGAGGTCAGGTAGCATTATTGTTTCACAAATGTATTGTTTATATTTTATCAAACACTTCTGTGATCTTCAGTCAACCATAGTAAAAAGTATGGAATAAATTGGCTAATCACTTCTAACCACATAAATGTCTGTTATGAAATGTTATTTAATTGTAATTATAAATAAATACATTTATTTATATATATATATATATATATATATATATGTGTGTGTATATATATATATATATATATATATATATATATACATACACATATACAAATATATATATATACTTTTTAAAAGAATTTAGATATTTTCCCCCAATTTTGCGTAAAATGCCATATGACAAAATGTAAAAAAAAAAAAATTTAGCATTTAGCAGAGTTCAATCATTCTTAATTTTATCACAGACTATTATTTAAATGTTTGATGTCATCTTTTGAAATTTCTATTCATCAAAGAATTCTGAAAAAAAAAATTATCACTGTTTCCACAAAAACAATGTATCCTGTTTTTAACATTGATAATAATAAAACATGTTTAATTAGCAGCAAATCAGCATATTAGAATGATTAAAAAAAAAAAATCAGTGGGGACTAAAGAAATGATGCAAAAAATTCAGCTTTGCCATCACAGGAATACATTACAATATAAAATGTTAAAATAGAAAATTGTGACAATACTTCAATTAATGTTTTTTTCTGTATTTTGATTAAATATAAGAGATAAGAGACTACTTTCAAATACATTTCAAAATTGCAATGACCCTAACCATTTTAACATTAGCGTATACAAGTCTTTCATTGACTTTTGTGACGCATCTAGAGTACACAACCTTCCATAACATCCGAGTTGCATATAGTTGTCCTTTTATATTTCAACTCAAATATTATTTAGAAAAACAATCCTATCCGAACACTTTTAATACTTTTAGCGTTCAAGAATCAAGAGAAGAGGAACATAGCTTCACAAAGATAGTCTGCAAGATTTGCTCAATGAATGAAATGCACGCTTGCTATTGAATCCCTTGAAACATTGCTGTATTTGTGCTGCAGGTTCTAGAGCAGCGTCATGTGGAGAACCAGCTGCTGAATGATGAATCAGGAGCGTGCAGCGAGCAGGGCAGCAGCGTGTTGATTCAACCCGAACCCCTCAGGCCCTCTGAAGCGCCACAAGACGTGACCATCAACCCAGAAAACTTTGCGTACAGCCTCAACCTCAGCTTTGAAGAGCTCAGCGGCGTGGGGCTTGAGGAGCCCGCCAGACAACACAATGCCCACTGGCTGGTGCGTGGTACTGCTGTGCACACAAACACATTCAGCTGGACACGTCAACACTGAAGTACAGCCTATAGATAAACACAGGTGCACAACATGAGAAGACGGTGTGATTATCTCCATAGAGGCCAACGCAAACATATGTGCGTGTGTGGAAGCAGAGAAACCGCCGTTTTTGTTGTTGCGCCTTTTTAACCCAACATTTTCTTCACTGTTGCATTTTGACTCTGGAGCGCAGCTTCTGCTTTTCAGTAGTCTCTCATCAGCATGAAAATAGCATGTGGTTTACTGGGTGACAAACGGAGTGTTTTCTGACCTAGATGGGCAGAGGAAGTGAAGAGCGGACCACACACACGCTAGCTCTCTATCACACAGAGATAGCTATTTCTGCACTCATCTGTTCACACTTGGCATGGTGTTTCAACATAAGCAAGAGCTCATAATGGTTTAGATTAGCATCATGGAAGTTGGTTGTGTACTCATAGTTGGTGTGTCCCATTTTGCATAAATCTACACTATTTTACACAATTTTGTAGCCTAAGTAGTGTGCTCACACTTTATGAGTATAGTGTGCTCAAATTAAGCTTTTTTGGAACTTTTTGTGAATGCGTTACTCACACAATTTTTTTTTTTAAAAGGCATCAAATAGTTCTTAAGTATGTAAGTTGGAATGCACCTAATGATTCATTTTGAAAGCAACTATTGTCTTACAAAGGGATAGTTCAATTAAAATGTTGTCATCAACTCACTGTCATGTTTCTGGAACCCTGCAGAACTTCTCATGGAACACAAGGAATTACTTATTCTTATTATTAAGTCTTCTGAAGCCATATGATAGTCCTGTATGAAGAACAGTCAGCAAACGTGCCTGGATTAAACCTCTAATAATAAAAAATAAGTGTTAAATCAATTGATAAATTGACTGAAATCCCTAGATCAGTTTTTTTTTTAATTCTTGCGTGTTCATATTAAATGTGGTACGATAAAACTACCGCAAAATGATGGCATGAAATGCCTTTCTATTGAGTTTACAAGGGCTGCATGCAAAAACAAACATACAATGCGACCTGTGTTGGTTTATTCTACCTGTTCATTCATGAACAAGTGAATAGTTCCAAAAATCTGTCTGAAACACCCTGAAAAACGGACATTTAAGGATTATTTATTATATTGTGTGTATTAACTTTCTTTTTTAAAATTTCACTGTGATCATCAATACCGGTATATTGTGACACCCCTAATCGATACCCAGCCCTAATGCTAAATAATTCCTTTTCTGTTCTATGAAAGACGGGCCTAAGTTTTATTGCTTGAAATGCCTATTACTGACTAAATTGACCTGATCTTCTCCTTTAGGCCAACACTCACCGGACGTCCAGCATATCCAGCCTGACCTCTCAGGAATCATCCAATGACATCTGTAAGCTGACCGACATGCAGCAGGCAGAGTATCGCACCGCTTACCAGGAGTACATCTCGCACATGTCCCAGCTGGAGGTGTCTTCTGCTGGACGAGAGAGTCCCGCTCAAGCCCTGGCCGGCCAGTTCCCCCCAGCAAGCTCAGAGGAGAAGACTAAGGAAGGTGAGCAAGATGTGCGCAAACCCCATGTCAAAAAGGGCTCCAAACCCGCAGACACCATAGCGGACTTCTCCTCAGCCCCGGATGGTGCTTGTCTAGACCCCATCACAGAGGAGGATGAGAAGTCCGAGCATGGGTCTGCCACTAAAAGACGCAAGACCAGAGGCCAGGGGCCTTGTTACCACAGCGTGCCGAGAGATGAAGAAGACTCTGGGGACGAGGAGACAGACGCCACCCCGCTGCTGAGAGAGGAACCCTGGGCCGCCGAACCAGATCTGGGCCTCTTATCTACAGGGAAGAGCTTCGTTTCAGACATCATGCTGGACAAGAAATCCTCTGACTCTGGAGTGAGGTCCAGCAGGAGCTCATCCGACCACTCGCTACAAGATGAGGAGAGCGAATCGGCCCAGGAGAAGAAGGAAGAGGAGACCCATCTGATCGAACTGGTTCTTGAGAGCCCGGTTAAAAAGCGAGTCTTACAGCACAGGCTGGGCAACCTTCAAGACGAGGCCGTGGCCCGGATGTCCATCTGCTCTGACGCCCTGTCTGACAGCAGTACCCCTGAGGAAAGCTGGCCCGCTTCAGCCGTGAGTAACCTCAACTGCTCGACCGACAACACTGCGCTCAACAACAACCTCAACAACAGCACTCAACAGGAGACCTCCGGCTCCACCGACTGCCCCTCACTCATTATAAGGCCCGGATCCAGCACAGAGACCAACCAGAACCTGCATGGAGTCCAACGCAAGAGGTCCATCGGTCCCGACGCCGCTGAGGAACGAGAGAGTGTCCTCTGAGCACAACCAGGTTTCTTTAACTCAAGGATGCCCAGTTCTGTTCCTGGAGATGTACCTTCCTGCAGAGTTCAGTTCAAGCACACCTGTCTGTAATTATCCAGTGCTACAAGATCTTGTTTAGCTGGTTCAGGGTTGGAGCTGAACTTTGCTGGAAGGTAGGACAGGAACAGGACTGGTTCATACGCTGTTACTGCACATTTTCTTGGTGTTGATTCTGCTTAGATTCATTTCATAGTCCACACATAAATTCAAAATTAGGTATCACTGCAAAATCTTTTTCTTAGACAGTATTTTTTGTTTAGTTTTGCATACAAAATATTTAAAGGTTCGTACAACAAAAAAGTCTTGCCTAAAATTAAAGTTGTTTTACTAAAAAACAATGAGTTAAATTCAGTAATATTAGGAAATTCATTAAAGGGATACTTCACCTCTGGAAAGATGAATGTGCATTTAAAATGGGTCATTTATGTAGAAGAAACGTGAAATTATTTTTGAATTTGGAGCTTTCTAGACTGAGAAAAGCCAGAAAATGTATTTTTGGCTTATGAAAGACAACAACTTCCAGAATGCACTTGCATCGCTGCCCTAGGAGGCCACGCCTACCGGTAACAGAGTGCAGTAGTTAAACAACAAGTCTAGGCTACTAGTGAGTCTCCGTGGTGAGTCTGCCCGAAAATGTGTTTCGAGATCGCCCAAAATATCCGGAATTCGGATTTGCGTTCTACAGGCGCCCTGTGAATTAAACTGAGCAATGAACAGCTTTTATCAACTAATGTTAACAAAGATGAATACAGTAACAAATGTATTGCTCATGTGTTCATGTTAGTTAATACATTAACTAATGTTAACCAATGAAACTTTGTTGTAAAGTGTTACCGTAATATTAAACTAAATTGCCGGTCAGAGTTAGTTCAATAAACCTAATTCATGAATTAATACTACAAATTGAACCTTTACAATTTGACAACTTATTCTTAGTCTTAATATATTACACAATTTCATCTGGTTTTATCCGTAAATGTTTTATTTTAAGGACGTTTTAGATATTTTTCAACTGTAAAACAAAAAAAGAGAACTTGCAGTGTAAAAGTGTGAGAAATGTGTTTGTTGCTGTTGTTGTAGCGGTGTTAAAAATGCAATAAACGGAGGCTGTGAAGCTGTTCGTAGTTTCTGATTCGTTTAGTGCAAATCCTGTTATTTCATGCTCCGTTGCTAACATTACAGATCTAGTGTAGGTTGGTCCACAATATTCAAATCATCATGTAGAGTGAGGATTTAAACACATATAGGTAGTGCTGGTGTGTTTGCTGTGATCGGTATTGTGAAAGTGGTTATTTATTTGTGATTGAATGCCTGATTCCCATTCAGATCATCCCTATAGTTTGTGTAGTGGTTTAGATCAAGAGAAAAACAAGAAAATGTTGAGGTTTCTCTAAGGAATTATTTGTGTGAATGCCTCAAAATGTTTTGTGGTTTTCTCACATTAATAAACTTTTTTTTTTAACCTTTTGAATGAGTCTGAAATTGAAATTCATTTTAAAATATAACAATCGCATTGCTCAGCTTTTAATGGATACTGTGCATTGCTTAATATATCAATTTTTAAAATCACAATTAAAGCGTTTAGCCAATAATTTCCCCATAAAAAAAGACATTAAAATAAGTGTCCATTATTTTGCTGAGGTGATGTCTGGCTGCCAGCAGGTGGCGCACTCTTCATATCAAGAACCCTAATAGAGGTTTAGGCTGCAATTGAGGTGCCTTTAATTTTAAAATATACACTTTGCAGAATTGTATGTAATAAGAGAGCATACCATTATCTATTTTTCTGTAGTTAAATGGTTTACCTGTATTTTATCCCACAAAATGACTCAAGTGCACTATAAATTAAATCCCATTATTTATGTCTGCTATGCTAACATTTAAAAGGATCCACTTCTCTCACGTGTATTCTAAGTTACGCCATTGTAGTCAAAAAGGCTTGTTGTACAATTCTGAATAATTTTAGAGTTTCCAGAGTCTGCGAAAAAAAAAGTGATAAATGAAATCAATCATTCAGATTTCTGATTTATTCCTTCGTGCTTATTAGGGGACAAACTGTAACGCTACAGACAGTGATTTTACAAACTGAATTTCACAAATCAAAAACTCAATTTTGAGTTTAACCGCCATTTCAAAACATACGAATGAGAGAACTTGTGGAAACGGTCACCGTTAATGTTCTACTTCCAGACACCTTCAAGTTTCCCCACACAGGAAGTCAGAAAGAGGTTAAAAGTCGCAAGAAAAACTGCTAGGCCGTATGATTTGTGGACAGTTCTATATTAGGAAATGGCACATTTCCCCCATTACGAACTAGAATGAATGCACCTTTACACAAACACATGGCAATGTAAAAGATTAATGCAGGTTCCCGTCAGTAATGGGCAAATGTGCACGTATGAAAGGTCAGTGACATGCGTTTAAGTACCAGGATAGAAAAGGCAAGGTCAAGAATATACAGCACAACACTGGCAGAATTGACATTAAGATGCAAGCAGAACAGACCAGTGTCAAATAAAGCATTTGATTTATTTTGTATAAAAAAAAGGTACGATTTACAATATTACTTTTATAAAAAGTCTCAGCATACAGCATAACACTTTGCAGATACTGACAGTCCAATTTCTGCAACTATACAAGATAAAACTCTGAGAGAGAGAGAGTTCACAAGGTTTCGTCATGTCATTTTCAACGTCCAGTCCTTCATGTGCCAAAAGAATTGACAAAAACAGACTTAAACTTTGTACAGTAACTAACCACGTCGTCTCCTATTCACACGTTCTTCACGAAAAAAAGGTAAGACTTCTTCTCAATGCAGAGAAAAGGTTCCTTGCGATCATTTACAGGTTTCCCCCCTATTTTTTAGGGAATAGTGCTTCTTCCTCTTGAAGAAAGGACCAAATAAGTCTTTTTAGAAGATAAATAATCATTGTCCGAACTTATAACACATCACATGGATTGTCCTTTTAGAAGCAAAAAAAAAAAAAAAAGTCTCTTGATTCAATTACAGGAAAGAAAGAAGAAGAAAAAAAAAAAAAACTCCAGACTGAGAACAAAAATTGGAGGAAAAGCCAGTTCCCAGGTCCTGTGTGTTCTTGTGTCTTAACCAAACACCTGCAAAAGATTGAGAAAGAGGCGCATTTAGAGAATGCAAACAGGGCAGAGATCCGGACAGCCTGGCGCCAGAGAGGAAGCCGCAGTTTGAACATTTAACCAAACACTCAAAGACTGAGCAAAACCCTGGGCTCCAGATGTACACGAGCACTGCCTTCCCTTCAGTGAGAGCATTTCAACATTCAACCTCAACTGATGATTAATAAACACTTATACTACTTTACAGACTATGTGGCACAAATTGTCCTTACCAAATTTGATTTCACGCTCTTAATTAAATTCTGTTCTGACAGCATAAAATATTTGTCTGTCTTTTACAGCATATAATCAATGGTTCATCAAAACAGAGTATTTACCTGATTAACGGTAAAGTGTCCTGCTGTCCTCTGTGATCAAATCTGATTGAAACTCAGGTGTCTAAAGGGACAAACAAAACAAAGTAAATTCATTTGCGGTCAATCTTGCACCAAATCAATGAAGCTTAGTCGTGCATTAATAGCGCATTTGAAAATTCACGATAGATAGAGCACTGCACTGTTGTTTCTGTGGACATTCACCTGTAATGAGAGGATGCTGATGTCTGTGTTGAGTGTTGTCAGGGGTGTTCTGGATGTCCCCTGCCCTGCTCGCGGGTGATGCAGGCTGGTGATCGCCGAATTCGAGTCAAGTGCGATCTGCAGGTCCAGGATATAATCGATGACATGTTGCAGGATTTCCATTTTGCTCACGTTCTTGTTCTGCGGGATACTCGGCACCAGCTCCTTCAGTTTAGAGTAGCAGTCGTTCATGTTGTAGAGCAGGCTCAGCGGATCATCCACGGGGGTCTTGCTCCGTGAGATTCCCAGACTGTGCTCCGTCACAGTCGCGCTACTTTTCCGGAAAGACCTCACTGGGCTTATTGCCTTCATGTTGACAGCTCTGTAAGGAACGGTTTCGTTGAAAGAGTCGCCTTTGTGTTCGAGATTTCCTCTTTGCGCTGGGCTGTTGAAGCAAACGCAGTGGATTAGCGAGCTGTCATCGCTGTATATATACACCCTGCTAGGTGGGTTGTTCACGCGCTGGTTTGGGTTGCGCTGATTGGCGGGTTAGGCCGCGTCAATCATCGCCTGCGCGCTACGCTATTGGCCGCTGTGCTGAGCGCTCAAGACCCGCCCATTTCTTCCGCGTTCTTGACCAGTGAAAGCGCGTGTTTAGGGTGGCGCTGACTGCCTTCAGCTTCCACGGATAATTTCTCAAATCAGTGTGAGTGTACCTGTTTCTGATCAAGAGAATTAGGGACTGGAAAGTACAAGGATGTTTTCACGCATTTTCCGCCTTTGTTTCTAGTGCAATCGTCAAAATGAGCCAAAACAAGCTTAGACTGATTTATGCTGGACATCCTATACGTAACAACGTGACTATTTTACGAGGTACGATGTAAACAGATTTTATGTCTCTATATAATGTAGTTAATGAAATGTACAAACCCCAGTTAAGCCTTCTATTAACCTTTAAATAGGAACATATTTCATGTTATTGCTTCTTTATTTCCATCTTTTTCCCTTACTGGTTAAATGATCAACATTTAGCCTACCTAAAAGTCATTGGCATGCAACAATACTTAGATAAAGATGGCAAGTTGATGCCAGGGGGGGTTTATTAGTCACTTGACCTTAGTTCTATATATTTCTCTTCAAAATTTTGCCCACTCTCCCAGTTGTGTCCCTCCCCCAACCTCCTGCAGGACACACAAAAAAAAAAACATTAAAAAATCGATTAACGTAAAAACCAAAGCTCTGGTAGAGCCGTTTCTTTATGTTTGCTGTGGATGTACCCTATGATGTAGCCTGCAGGTTCAAGCCTACGAAGGCTACTTTCTTGCAGTTGGTGTATAATGTTTATGTTTGTTTACACATCACGACGGCAGGGGGGTTTGAAAGCAGTCTTTATGCCTGTTTAAAAGATGTAATAGTGATGACAGGACATCCTCCTGCTCTCTAGTGCACGAATGCGAGCAGCATATTGATAGGCGCACAGGAATCAATTACCGGGAAAGTGTAGCCTACTACTGTAAGTTTTAACGTGAAACTGCACAGCTGCAACTGAAAATGCATTCTTCATGGGACTGGGAAGAATATTTTTATCCTGACACGGATTATATTACCATTTTTTAGAAACCTTTTGGCAGTCTAGAGAGCGAGGCGAGAGTGATGGCAGAAAACGGAGAAAAAGAAGCTCTTTGTTTACACATGCTAAGTAACAATGGAGACAGAGATTTCCTGGTTGCTTGTGCATATCCGACTAAACAGATGTTTGCGGAGATGCGTCGGAATGCAATCGTGTTGATGTGTCGGAATGCACCTCATACATTCTCATTTTCACTGCTTAGAAAATGAAGTAGTCTAGCCTACTTGTAAGATGGCATTCTCTAGGTCGCTGCATTTTAGACTGTTTTTTTTTTTTTTTTTTTTTTTTAAGGAAATCTTCGCAAGAAAAACTGCATTCCGCGCGCGCAGGACTTACAAACGCTCGTGGTCTCGTCCGGATCTGCCGCAACTGGCTTTTTCCATTTTCTCCCTCGTCCTTTTTTTTTTTTTTTGTTCTCACAGCTGTGTAAATTTCGCATGACACCCTGACTGATCCCTGACAGGTGATGAATTGGCACCAAGCAAAGCAGCACTACAGAGCAGCACCGCGAGCTCGCGCTCTTGCAGACTCACTGGCGCCAGCCCCGTGACGTCACCCATTGACAGCGGCCCTGCAGCCAGTCCTCGCGGCGCCGTCCAGGCGGCTGCTATGGAGACGGGGCCAGTTCTGAGCTGATCAATGGGGCCCGGGCGCTGCGAGATCGGAGTTCAGTTCGTCACCTCCGAGGCCCGCACACCTGCATCGATTTGCATTTCTTTGCTTACGTTTAACTTGGAGGACTCCTCGGCCTTTCGAAACAATCTAGACTTTGAAACGAACCTAATAATGAGTAACCTTGATTTACCGCAACTCAATGTGCCCGAGGTAGAACATAGGCTACTTTCAGTTAGTCATGCATTATTATAGATTAAAAAGAGAAGAAGAAGTGCTTTCATTTTGGATCATTCGTCACGAAGAAACATCAAGAGAAACGACAATTGCGAGATATGGGGTTGGTTTTAAAAGAAAAGAAAATAAACTTGTGCGTTCTTATGTATTTTACACGCGAGGAGGAATCGCGCGTGAATGCAGATTGCCTTAAAGGGGTAGCCTAGTTCACCCCAAAAAATGAAAATTAGCCTGTCATTATTTACTCATCCTCATGTTGTTCTAACCCTGTATAAGAGTTTCTTTCTTCTGTTTAACACAAAAGAAGATATTTTGAAGAATGTCGGTAACCAGAAAGTTGACGGTAGCCACTGACTTCCATAGTAGGAAAAAAAAAAATACTGTGGAAGTCAATGCTACCGTCAACTGTCTGGTTCCCTTCTTCACAATATCTTCTTTTTTGATCAACAGAAGAAAGAAACCCATTCAAGGTTGGAACAACTTGAGGGTGCCCAAAATGATGCCCTAGGGAAGTAGATGGTATCTAGACGGTAAAAGCAGTTTCGAAAAACTCCCATTTTTAAACCAAGACTATACAGGCGTCTCATTGTAGCCTAGTATAATTACCATATCCCAATAAGCAGTATTTTAGAGTCACGTTTGTTCTGTCTCCTGTCAAAATGATAATGGCAAGAAAACAATCTAAAGTTGGCAGAAAGTTGATGAGTTCTCCACGGGATGGAGTCGGGATGTCTGTCCCGCCTCCTCTGCTGTTCCAGCTCACTGCAGCTGCACAATTCCTCCGTCTCCAGCTCAGCAGATCCCAAAGAGTCACTTACTGTCGTTGAAAACAATGTGAACAACACTTAAGTAGCCCATAACTTTAATAGACATAAGCTATAGCCTACCATCTACAGTTATCCCGAAGAATCGGAAAGTCACGCGCATTTTGAAAGTATTCTGAACAACGCAAACATTACGCGATGCTTTCATTAAATTCCTCTTTAGAAATGCAAGATTTTGAAACTCTCACGTGTTAACCCGTGTGAGAAAATAACCCCGATTCAACTCGAGTCCCCACAAAATTCTTCCCCACGGCATATTTAAACATCCGGACGCATGTAATCGTTTCGTTTCTCGTTCGGCTGTGGTTGGCTTCGGCATTCGGTAGAGGCTTTGCGAGGCTCCCACGCGCCTGTCGCGTGCAGCAGTACACGCGTGAAAGTGTGGCTCGCGACTCTTGTAGCAACATCGACCCCATGGGCGTGGCGTTGATGTTTGGCTTAAGCTATTGTTCGCCTCCCAAAGAGGGTCCTGAGAAATTTTGCATTTCAGAACTCGAGTATCTTTTTTTTTGCTTGCGTAATGCAGAGCTGCTGTTTGTATTCGCACAAAAGCCTATTTGTGAAAGCATTGAAACACATTCTTGCTGTCAGAGCACAACTATTGTTTCATAATACAAATTCAAATAAGGGAGACCCTACAGCTCAGGGGCTAGTTGTCACAAAAGTTATTTTCCAAAATCCTAATATTGTTTTTTTCTGTTATAAACAAGTACAGTATATACAGCAAAACAACACTTGTAAGCTATCAGACAAGATACATGATAGTAGATTGTAACCGAAAGGTTAGTCAGGACAAGATGTTGGAGCGGGGCAAGTTGTCACAACTCTTAAATTACGTAATTTTTTCCACAATTTTCATATATTTTGGCTAAAATAACCTACAACAAGTGACTTTTGTGCCTTTTTAAATTATTTAAAGCTATTATTATACTGTTATTATTATTATTATTATTAGGCATATTATTAAATGGGGGGTCTTTTTATTTAAATTAATTAAATAATTAAAGAGTTAAAAGTGATTTAAGGGAATAAAGAAAAACTTAGATGCAGCAGCAGATAGAATAGACAATAGAATAAAGATGTATCAGTCCTCAGTAGAAGTAAGAAAAACCAGTAGTGTGCATTATTGAGGAAGAGAAATCCTGAAAGGCTCCTTTCTCAGTCCAAACACCTCAGTCTTCAGTGTCGCAAGGGAATTGAGAGTATTTGGGAGATCTGAAACTGCCTGAGACTATCTGATACCATATGGACATGCAACTTTTTGGTTATTGTGGTAGCTTCTGCCACTCAAACTGCCTGGTTTTATTCTCTTTCTCCGCTGTAGAGCTGGATTGCAAATACGGTAGTTTTTCTTTTGAGCCACTTCCCTACTGGCTTCTGCTCTCAGTCACTGGACTCTTACTCAATCTCATCTCTTTATATAGCTCACAGGGAAGAGAGAGTCGATGGGGAATTAGTTTCTCTCACTATTATTAAATAGTTGGAGAGCATGACAAGTGAGGGGTCTGGGGTTTTGTGTAAAGCTTTGCTCTCACGGTCAACAGAATGTTATTTCTGGACTGAAAATGTCTTTTACAAAGCTTTTACTTTGCATTCAACCTAGAACATCCCCTTTTTACACCAATATGTTGAGACACGTTTCAGCAGGCTTTCTAAATCAAAGCCATTTATCTGTACTAAATATTTAATAACAGTTGCCCCTTGAAACCGATGATTGAGATGGAGAATTAATACCTTGATGTTGTTTAGGCAACAAGAACTCACAGTTTAGTTTGATTGTACATTATTGCGACTGATTGAAGTCATGAGATAATGGAAACAAAGTACCGGGTTTCACACAGGACTGTCGGGGATGTGCTTTGTGCAGGGAACAAACAGAACATTAATCATTGAGCTTTGACAATCGATCCACTATAATGTCCGCACTGTTATGTTTTTCAGAAAAGGTTGTTCTAGGGTTATAAAAGCACTCGAGGAACACGGGAAGTGTACTTCAGATGCTTGACGGTCAGTATGTGCAGTACTCTGATATCTCAAATCTTTCCTGAACACCTCAAATTTGGTTGCAAGAATATTATTCCATGAATATCAAATGTCCAGTGAGAGTTTTTACAGCGAGGGCTCGTGCAGTTGGGTTCTCCCTGCAGTGTTGTGGTAGCAGCACGACTCTGTATTCGCCATGCA